AGCTCAGTGAGTAGGGTGCCAGCCACATACTGGTGGGTTTGAGCCTGGTATGGGCCTGCTAAACAAGGACGGCTACAACCAGAAAATAGCCAGGCATTGTGGCAGAGCCTATATTCCCAGCTACTGGTGAGACTGACAAGAGAATCACCTGAGCCCAAGAGTCTGAGGTTGCTGTGAGCTATGATGGCATAGCACTCTACAGTGGGTGACAAAGTGAGACTGTCTCAAAAAAAAAAAAAAAAAACCCAGGTGATAAAGAGTGACTGTTCCCCCACATTTAGTGCATACTCAGTACATAGTTCTCCAAGGGCTAAAAATGAAGTTAGTTGAATAGAAATGATTTTATTTATCCAGCACTGGAGTATTAATTAAAGTGAGGCAGACAGCAGCAGGCGGGTCATAAAGCAGGTCTTTCCCACTACCTCATATTCTTCTTCACTTCCTTATCATTGTTGCTGGCAGAATATTTGGAAAGTAAAAACTAAATTAGGAGGATGGAAGATCTATCCCTTTTTTTTAGAGAGGGGGGTCTCGATATGTTGTCAGGCTGGAGTACAAACACAATCCCATTACTGATCAGCCCGGGAGTTCTGACCTGCCCTAATTCCATAATGGGCTGGTTTGCTCCTCTTTAGGCAACCTGGTGGCCCCTGCTCCCAGGAGGTTACCCTACTGATGTTGGATTTAGTGTGGACAGCTGAACAGCATAGTGCATGAGAGCCCAGAACTCCTGGACTCAAGTGATCTTCCTATCACAGCCTCTCCAGTAGCTGGGACTACAGGCCTAGTCACTACGTCTGGCTGTTTTTTGTTTTTTTTTTTTTTTTGAGGACAGGGTCTTGCTATGTTGTCCAAGTTGGTCTTGAACTCCTGGGCTCAAGTGATCTTCTAACCTAGGCTTCTCAAACTGCTGGCATTATAGGCCTGAGCCACCAGGTCCTGCCTCAGATGTTGTTTTATTCCAAAGTTTTGGTGAATTGTTACTTCTGAAAACAACTGTTTAATACATCACTGCACTGTCTGGGAGTGGGGGAGGGAAGATGAGCAGGGTGCCCTAGTCCAAGTAGATGGTTTTTGGTTACAGGGAACAAACTTGTACTGAACAAACTCTGTTAATGGCAACTAAATTATCTGCTCTTTTCTTCTCTGGAGTTTGACTTCAGGTGATAAGGCACTAAACAGTGCCTGAATGGAAGTGAATCTCCTTTGGGAAAAACTGCTAATTCTGCTCTTCAGGAATCTAAGAAACAAATCCCAGATTTCCCTATAGGCATGATGACAAACAGACTCTCCTGCATAAGGCTCCATGGGTAAGAGTCCTTTGATATCTACCCTAAAGCCCTGGGCCTTGTTAAGCCCTCTGGAGCTGAGCCTCCCACAGTCTGAGGGCAGCAACTTCAGACAGCAAGGGAGAGAATGGGAAGAAGCCATGAGACACTAAAGGAAAACACACACATATCACAACACTCAAATCCATTAAATAAAACGGACTTGATAAAATAAATGTAGGACAAAGCATTTTTGCCTAAATAGAATGCTTGCCTTCGGTCTATGTTTACCACCTTCTTCAGTATTTTCTCAAAATGATGCCTTCACTTACTTATTTCTTTCTAAATGCCACACAGCTCTTGAGGTACAGGGCTGCAGTGGTAATCAAGACTGAGAAGGAAGGTCGTGACCCTCCAGAATTACATAGGCAAGTATATGTGGTTGGGGTGACAGTGACATGGGAGGACAGGAGGGCAATGAATTGGGAGGAAGGCTGCGAAGGGCATAAACAGTGACGTGTGAGAGAGAAGACAGCAGGTGTAGAGAGACGGGAGACAGAGAGGGCTTCACTGGCATGAGGAAGGGAAAAAACACTGATGTGTGTGAAGGGTGATGATAGTAGACTAGGGGAAGAGTATTAGGAGAAATCAATTACCATCAATACTTATTAGCAAGCATATTATTTAGTATGGGTCAAACCCTGTTCCAAGCAGTTCATCAATATTAATTAACTTAAATCCTTACAGCATCCCTATGTTATTAACTCCATTTCGCAGATGAGGAAGCCAAACACCAGAGAGGCTAAGTAATCTGCCCAAGGTCACACAGCTATCACAGAGCAAAGCCTAATTTCCACACTCCAAACAATCTGGCTTCAAAGTCCACACTCTCAACCCTTGGCTATACTGCCTATCAGTGAGGTTGAAGAGGAAGTTTGACCACACCTGACACGTCGGAAACATTTCCACCTCCCTAGACCATCTCCTGAGCATAAACTACTATATTAACAAGAACCATATTGAATATTTCAGTATGAAATACTGAACCATACTGAATAATTCACTCCAAGTCAGTGACTGATTAAAGTCTGAGATGTTTCTAATTGGAAGGAGAAGAATTGGGAAACATCCAAAAAAAGAGAGAACATTTTCTTTTTAATGAATGTCAGCACTGCAGGATGATAAAAGTAGAGATTACAGAATAAGAAAAATATCCTCCAGTCTTCCAGGTATATAGTTTTGCGACACAGAGAAAAGCAACACAGCACTGGTACTTCATTTTTACATCATAATTCCCACATACCTGTCCCTCAACTGGGATTACACAGGAATTTAAAATTATAGGAAAATTAAGCTCTAAGTTCTAGCAGAGGGGAAAAAAAAACTCTCCAATGAGTCACAGTGACACCACTTGGATTTTCCCTCGCAAGAAATGCAGGCAGACTGTAATTTTTAGCAGCTGCTGGATCCCTGCTAGAGTACCACCCATTCCAAAAGAAGGAAACATCTAGGCTGCTGGGTTTTGCCTGAAACAGGAGGTTTGACCTTTTCATGCCTGTCTGTACATGAAGCTCTGGCACAATCATTTGCATTTTTAAGCTGGAGAAATAAAATACCCCCTTTATTTTTGAGTGGACTAAGGCACCAAAATTTTAGCATCCACGTTTCAGTCACTGAACAGGTCAACTTCAGTAAGAGCTCACAGGGCAGTAGGGGACCTATGATTCCAAATGCTGAAATTTTTAAAGGCATTTGCAAATGCCCAAGTTTAAAAGATAGTACGATTGCCCTGTTGCCTCACTACTGCTTTTCCCTCCACAAAGACAAGGCAAGAGGGAGTGAGGGAAACTCAGGAATTTTATTTTACTGTCTAGGAAGATGGCATGCTACTAAGTAGCATTAATACATTCAGTTGCAAAACCAGTAGCATAGTCTTCTAAGCAAATAGAGCTTTAAAATGCTAAATGTTTTGTAGTCTATGGTGGTCAGCAGTAGTTTCCTGAATATAGATTTAGAATATTTAAACGTAGGGAACTGTAAGTTTAAGTACTGATAAGTTTAAATACTATGACTAAAAGTGCAGTAGACAATAAATAACTTTTGACAGATTGACTTGACATCCACCTCATTCCAGACTCCTCCAGGGCCTCTTAGCATTTCTCTGGAAAATAGACGTCTGTTTCTTTCCTGTGCTAACCACCAGGTGAGAAGCCTTCCTTTCAGGATGGTATCTCC